GGATGCTTGGTGGTAGGGAGCAGTATCACAAAGTGGGCAGGACATTGGACTCCAGAGTCAGAGGGTCCAGAGGAACACAGGTTCAGCTGGGCCACCATCTGCCCTGTGACAAGGCCCAGTGCCACCACCTTCCTGAGCCCCGGAGTTCCCGCTTGTAAAGCAGGGACGATGAGGCCCCTCTCTCCACCTCAGACTGGGGTAGGCCTGAACAAGGCAAGGTTAACGAAGCATCGCTCATGGGGGGTTGCTTCCATAGGCGCTCATGTCATTCATCTGTCCCCCCTCTGCCTGACATCTGTTTCACAGTCTTGGGGACAGCAACCTACCTGGGGCAGTTTGCAGGAACCTCTGTGTTCTGCATCTCAAGGGATGGTCTTCATGCACACTCTCCTCCTGCCACGGGAGGACGGGCATCATTTTGCCTGACCCTTCCCACGGTCTCCTGTCTCTGTATGCTTCCCTCTGAAGGCTTGGCAAGCTGATTCCTCCTTCCTGGCCAAGCCTTGAAGTGCCCATTTTACAGATGAAGACACTGAGGCTCAGGGTGGGTGGGCAACTTGCCAAAAGTCACATCTCAGTGAGATAGGGCTTGGCACTGAGGTGTCTCTCAATCCAGAGGCCATACGATGACCTGGTTAATCATTCTCTCCCCTGCCATGGGGCTGGGGAAGGGGCTAAATTCTGAAGGCCTGTCTGGGAATTCAGGTCTTCCTGCTAGAGCCCCTCAAATCTGGGGCTCCTGGACAGCCTCTCAGCTAGTTCTAAATGTCCCTCTAACTTAGGGTTTCCCAAACAATAATGCTGAATGTACCCAGTGCATTAGGATGGTTGGTTATCTTCTCAGCCCTTGGGAACAGAGGCCTGAGCTGGTCACCTTGGACCAGGTGTGGTTCTGTCTGTCTACCTCCGGGTACCAAACAAATATGTCTACTTCTCTACATGTATCTTGACGTGAAACAGCTTGGGGAGCCCTGCTGGCTCTAAACAATTCCCTCCCTGCCCCCACCAAACATACTAAGCATGCACATTCCCCGATGGATGGAGGCTCATGGTCCTCTCTGGGCCTCAGTCTCTTCGTCTGAGAAATGGGGATGAAGTAAGTGATGTCAAAAGCATCCTTCTAGTGTTGTGGATCAGAGTGTGTAAGCCCTAGAACCAGTGTTGGGAGGGAGCAGGGTCTGCCTGGGGCCCAAATAGCCTGCAAAGAAGGCCAAAAACAGTCCAGAAAGGGAGCTGTGGGGAGGGAGAAGTCAGGGGCTATGGCTCAGCCTCAATTTGAGTCTTTGGCTGCGTGGTGCCAGGTAGGGAGGCTGGAAGGCTTAAAGTGTCTGCTCTTCCTGATGCTGCACCCTCTGTGCCAGTGGCCTCTTCTTCATGGCCTTCTGGGCTCGTGGCCTTAGACAGGTCAGTGAACCTCTGAGTCTCAGTTTCTTTATCTGTTAAGTGGGAATAACAATATCTCGGGGTAGGGGATATTATAGAGAATAAATCAGACAGTGGGAATGGTATGATGCAAACTCCTCTGCCACAGTCTGGCCAGGGGTGGCTGCTGTCTACATTCCTGTGGTACCCCTGACCTTTTTCCCTCAAATGCCAGAAGTCCACCGCAGCTCCAGGTGTTAAGGTCCTCAAGGGAACCAGAGCCTGTCACCCTGGCCTGTGGGGTCGTGCGGTAGGAACCTTGGAGTCTCACTGGGCCTCAGAGTCTGCAGCTGTAAGACTAACAGGAGGCTTGGGGCTTCACAATCCTGTGATTCCTGGGAGGGGTGAGTGTCTTCTGACCCCGGTTGGCAGAGGTGGTGAGATTTTTACCCCCGGGTAAGAGATGAGAAGTGGGAGCTCAGGGAGATTCAGTGGCTCAAGGTCACACTGCTAATAGGAAGCAGAGCTGGGATTCAGACCTAGGTCTTAGGAGGGAAACGTGAGCCTAATCATGTTTGGTGGCCTCGTGATTTTCCTGCTGCCCAGAGAAACAGCTTTTTACTTTTTCTTTTCTGTTTTAACAACAACAACAACAACAAAAGGTAAGAGCAGAGAATGAAAAATACAATAGTGAAGAGGTCAAAAAGCCAGCCCCTGGAGCTAGCTGAGGTTTCAGAAAACATATCACCTGTTACACATGAAAACAAACACAGCCACCTGTGGCCAGCCTCTTTTTTATGGATGGCCAGGACAAAGTCCAGAGAACTGGAGAGCTGAGTGGCTGAGGACTAGCTTGCAGGTGGAGAGCCCACAGGTAGGCGGGCTTCCAGAACAGAGCAGCCAGGCCAGGCTTTCTCATTCTACCTTCTGCCCCAGCAGGCGACTGAGCTCACGTGGTGCGATCAGTTGTCGACTCACCAAACTGGCTGGACCTCTAGGCCTCTGGCAGGCCCCTGAGGCATAGCCAGAGGCTCAGAGACAGAGGCTCTGCCCATGCGCAGGACAGAGGCCCTGTTCCTTAGGTCGCCCAGCCCTGCCCTGCTCAGTCCCCACCCTGTGGCCCAGGCCTGCCCTGCTTAACCCTCACCCTCTTGCAGGGGACCAATAGCCGTCACCAGCAGCCGCCACCCTCTGGCATGGAGGCCTCCAGGCCATGCATACATTTGGAGGCCTAATCAAGCCCCTCAGAGGGCTTTGGACTGTTGGTCAGGAAATCAACAACTAACTTCTGGATAGTAATTGTCATTATTGGTAGCATTTATTTGACACTTCCTGGGTGTCAGGCCCTTGGCAGATGCTAGCTCATATAAGCCCTGCCATAGTTCATTAGTAAGTCCATCTGACAGGTGGGGAAGCTGAGGCACAGTGATGAAGTGATTGCTCGAAGCCACACAGCTGGTAAGATGTGGCAGGTTTGGCATCCTCAGGCAGGGAGAGTGGGAGGAGCGGCCAGGGTGACCAGCACGGACTGAGCCCTACTAGGCACTGGCTGGATTGTGGTTCCTCTTCCTACCTGTGTGTGGTGGGTGGGTTTAGTTTTCCATCTGCTGAGAAAGGGGCAGTGCCACAGTGTTTCCCCAGGTTATGTGGCTGCTTTGCAGCAGCTCCGGGGGGGATGGGGTGGAGGTGGGGGTAGGGGAACCCAAGGTTGCAGTGTGACTTTCTTGTGCAGAAGGAAGGCCTGGTGAGCCAGGGCAGGGCAGCAGGTGCACTGGGCCCGTCCAAGTCCACCACTGTGTGCTTAGGCTTGATCTTTCGGTGTGACTTGGAGGCTCTTGCTCTCGCCATCCCCTCTGAGAAACGCAGTGATCTGGAAGGTCTTCTGCAGAGTGGATACTGCTCCCCGGAATAAATGACCCCGGAGGGCGTGAGCCTCCAGGAAGTTGGAGTTGGAGCAGAGGTGCAGGGAGCTTCATGGGAGATTCCCTCAAGCCCACCTACATCTCCCTCTGAGCAGAGGGACCAGGCCTCTGCTGAGACTGGGCTTGTGGCAGTGGGTCTCAACACATTAGAATCCTCTGGAAAACTTAAAAGATCCCAATGCCTGGTCCGTACTCCAGACCAATTTAATCAAGATCCCAGGGAAGGGGGCCCAGGCATGAGCAAGTTGTACAGCCCCCAGGGTAATCCTGACCTATAGCCGAGATAGGAGACCAGCAGCTGCTCTAAGGCAACTGGGGGATGAGGGAATTAGGAACTTCTTGGCTTTCTAGGGTTTGTGACCCCCTGAAACCTGACAAAGGCATGTGTACCTAGAGAGAGTTCACAGCTTCCACCAGCTTTTCTGACCTAGAGGAGATTAAAATCCATTCTTGGGAGTAAGCAACCACCCCTTCCCATAAACCAACAATGTCATTTTTAAAGACTGGAAATCTCCAGTAATTGGATCAAGGTTGGTTTGTCCCATCACCTCTAAGCAATCTTTCCTGACCTCCCCAGACACCCACTTCCCTTTCCTGCTTTCCGCAAATACATACAGTGTGCTTAGCCCATGCTTGGAACTGCTTGGGGCTCGGGGATTGTGGCGAATGAACAGCCATCCCCTGGAGGAGCCGTGTTCTAACGGGGGCTCTAGACACACTCGAGAGCCCATAAGCTAATCGCAGTGAGTGGGCCATGTGACAGGCCCCGGTGTCAAGGATGCTGTTCCTTACAGTGGGCAGGGGAGCCTCCCTTGCTCCCTCCACTTGTACCACTCACCCCTACCCCGAGATTCTGGTGACTTGGTCTGGGCAGAGTCAAGGGCCTGGATGTTGGCATGTTTTGATTCTACTGTGCAGCTGGAAGCGAGGCCTGCCGTGTGGATCAGGTGTTCAGGGAAGGCCTCTGGGAGGAGGGAACTTGGCCCATGGGAGAAGGAGGAGCCAGCGGAGGGCTTTGGGGGGAACACTGAGCTGAGAGGCAAGAGAAGAGAGCAGCCTTAGGAATGCGTGTGTGTATGGGAGGGAGAAGTGCTGAGGACAGAGGAGCGGCGGGCAAACCAAGCAAGGCCTCGCCAGCTCCATAGGAGCCTGGATTTTATAGGGACCATGTCGGCTACATTACGGTTACAGGGTTGTAGGCAGGGGAGCGACAAGGTCTGGTTTACAGTTTTCAAACCCCTTGCCATGTGAATAAGGGATTGGGGAGGATAGGAGTGGAACTCGGGACCCGCAGGGAGCCGCCCTGGTCCAGGCAGGAAGTGGGATTTGGGGCCCCGGCAAAGTGCTGGACTAGAGGACACAATTTTGGGCTGTGGGATGAGAGGGAGCATGGGTGAGTGTGACTTTCAGGTGTTTGGTCTGGGCCAGCAGGGGGGTGGCGCAGGGGCATCCCCAGCCCCTCCCCCATCTGCAACCCTGCAGCTCTTAGAACCCTTAGCACCAGCCCCCAAGGTATCCTTGAGAGCTTCTGGTTTGGCATTTCCTAAGAGGTGCTCCATGTGGTATTGAGGGCTATTAAGTGTAAAAATTGTTTGAGTTCGGCAGTGCTTGCTGCCGAGCATTCTGGAGATGTTAATAGGCTGATGTGCGGGTGGCTCCTGGGGAGAAGTGGCACTCCACCGACTGGGTAACAGCAATACCTTCTGTTCTTAACAGCGCGTCTTCTAGGACTCGTATTGAGGAGCCACACCCGAAACTGCTGCTTGTGTCCCAGCCCGTCGTTGAACAGGTGAGGCGGCAGGCCCAGGGTGGGCAGTCACCGTACTGTGCCTCGAACCCCGTGCTCTGCTAGAGCAGGGACTGGCCTGCACCTCCCCACTTTGGGCCTGCAGGTGCCACGACATCACATAACTCTTTTCCCCCCCACACTGTTTGGGACACGCAAGTTCTAGGATCAGGCTGGAGGGCTGCTACCCCATCCTCCCAAGCCTCGTACCCTTCAGGTGCAAATTCACAGGTCCCCGACACAGACAAGGGGTTCTCTTGAAGACACCAGCTCTTCCCCAGGCCCACTTCCTATACTCAGGGTCTTCGAGGAAGGTGAAGGAGCCTTGGCAATGGGTCCTGGCAGTTAGGGCTGGCTCTGAGGGTGCTCACCACACAAAACGCCCACCCCACCCCTTGGGTGAGGACAGAAGAGGCCTGAAAATAGAGTCTCAGCTGACTCAGGGGCAGAGGGTATCAGTCCCCTTTCAGGTGGCTGAGCACTTGAAAGTTCTGGTGTTTTACATGGAAGTCTCTCTTCCCTTCACTCCTCCATCTTTCCATCTCCCCATCTCTCCGTCTCTCCATCTCTCCATTCTCCTGTTTACCATCCCTCCATCCAGCCATTGCTTCATCCTTCTATTCCTCTATCTCTTAATTCCCCATCTACTCATTCCTCCAACCTTCCATCCATCTTTCCATCATCCTACCATCCAGCCATCGCTCCATAGATCCACCCCTCTATCCCTCCATCTCTCCATTCTCATGTCCACCCATTCTTCAATCTAGCCATTGTTCCATCCTTCTTTTGCTCTATCTTTTCATTCCCCATCTATTCATTCCTCCATTCCTCCATCCCTCCATCCAACTATCCATCCATCCAGGCCAGCCAGCCAGCCAGCCAGCCTTCCATTCCTCTATCTCTTCATTCCCCATCCACTCATTCCTCCATTCCTCCATCAGTCTACCCACTATCCCTCCATCCCTCCATCTAGTTATCCCTCCATCCCCCATCTCCCCATCCATTGCTCCATCCAGCCACCCATCCCATCTTTCATTAGGTAACATTTGCTGGGGGCCTACTTTGTTCTCATAAATAATACATAGTCTTTCCTCTCAAAGTATCACAGTTCACAGGGCAGATGGGACAAATAAGTAGAACATTACTGTACAGCATCAGGAATTAGAATAGCAACTTCCATTTACTGAAAGCCTACCACATGCCAGGCATTTTATCCACATTATCTAATTTAATCTCTGGACAAATATTCCAAATGGATTTTATTTTCCTACTTTTACAAATGAGTAAGGTGAGGCTCAGAGAGGTTATGTCATTGGTCTGGGATCACACAGCAAGGAGATAAGAGAATCACATTTGTACCCAGGCAGTTGAACACCCGAGCCTGTTCTGGGAACTGATCCAGTCGCCAAAGCTATTGGCAGGAAGCAGAGAGGGAGTGTGGCTAACCAACATGTGTGTTGGCAGGGACAGGCTGACAATGGTGATAGAGACAAGGCTGGCTGGAGTAAGAGGTTTCCTGGAGGTGATATCTGAAGTTAGTCTTGAGGAAGGAGTAGGAGTTAGTAAAATATCAGCACAGTAATTTCATTGCATGAATTGATTTGGCGTAAAATTATATATTTGGTCAATTTCAATTGTAGTTGCTTAGAAATGGCCGATTTACCTGCTATACAGTATAACATCAAGTAAGTATGGCCTTCCTATTGCTCAGACAGCTGTCAGTGGCTGTTCTGGAAATTTCCAATAAAATGCGCACGCGTGCCATTCCCTTGTGTTGTCGGCGGTCCATATAGCTCGCAGGAAAGCCTGGGAAGACCCCCCAGTGTTTACAGAAAGCGTATACACGGAAGCAGTACACTGGGAGACATTCCCTTTGTTCAGTTTCATTGGCGGGTGAAATCCTTGCCCCTTACTCCCTCCAGAAGGGCTGATGCAGGCCTGCCCCTACTCTGGCCCACTGAGTCCCCCTGTGCCAGCACTGACCTCACTATCTGTTTATAGCGGTGGGTTCAGTTGGGGCCCTCACTCTACAGGTGAGGGGCCTGAGGACCTGGAAGTCCCCCTTCCCTGTGCCCGTGTGCTGGCAGAGCCAGTATTTGAACCCTTATCTGGGGGGCCTTTGTCTTCTCCCTCTTGTCTGCAATTCCTTACATTCAGTGCTTGCCACCAGCTCGCTTTCCCCCAGGATCTCAAGCTGAAGGCGGTCCTGACCCTTGCTGCCTCTTACAGACACTCGTGTGTACCTCATTGGGTCCCCTGCATTGGGGACATCAACCAGGGGGCATGGCTGTGTGCCCCCGCAACTTTATTTAGGGCCATTATGGTGTGAATTTTGCGTGCTACAAAAAATCTTTTTATTTTTTTTTCCAACTAGTTAAAAATGCAAAATCTGTTCTTAGTTCACAAGTTGTACAAAAAGAATAGGTGGTGGGTTAGATTTCATTTAGAGACCCAGCTGGCCACCCCTTGCCCTACAGCAGTGCTTATTCCCATCTCATGTATGAGAAGACTGAGGCTCAGATACCACCCGACCCCCCCCCGTCCCAGGCCCTCTGAATCCAACTTTGTGGGGGAGGTGGTCCCATCGTGGCACCACCTGGGCATGTTCTCAGCCTGAGCTGACCCCCTGCCCTCCTTGGAACTGCCCATCTTCTGCTCCGTGGTGCTTTGAGGGGGAAAGTCTGGACATGGAGGGAAGAAAGCCTTTGCATCCTTGGATACTGGCTAACGTGCCCTGGAGCCGCCACCCCAAGCTCTGGTTCCCAGCACCTTCTTCTCCCCCAAGTGATTCCGGGTAGCCTCTGGGTCTGCCCAGATGGGCCAAACTGCCTGCCAGTCCTGGGGCTGTCTGGCTTCTGTTCTAACATCCCAGCTGCCTCCTGGAGAGGATGGGGCAGCCTAAGGGGTGAGGCGGCCTGGGTTCTGTCCTTGCTGGTCAATGTGCTGGTGATTTGGGGCCAGCTCCTTCACCCCTCTGTGCCTCCGTTTGCTCCCAGGACACCAAAGGGGCTTTGCCAGATGCCTAGTACAATTTGTGTGAGTGTCCGAGACCAGCGACATTGGTCAGAGTCTGGAGCATCAGGGGATACCCGCTTAGCACCTCCACTTCCTTTTGCCCACTTGGGAATCCCAGCCATCCCACAGATCCCTTTATACCATCAAGCCCACCCCTGCTTGCGAGCTGTGTGACTTGGGTGGTTACTTCACCTCCCTGAGCCTCCCCCCTCACCTGCTGGGCACAGGAGGATTAAGGGGGATGCCCGACACCGGTGGCCGTCTGGACTCGCTGCCATTCGAGGGCAGCTACTCCTCCTCACTCCCTGGGCCCAGAACTGACTGTTGTCCACAAACTTCCCTTTTCTGAGCACTCCCAACCCTGTGAGGCGGCCCTGGCAGCCCAGCCTGAGCAGAGGATGTGGGAGCTGAACGTGTAGAAACTGCTTTCCCGTACCCACGAGAAGCAAGCAGCAGTTGCCAAAGACCGTTTGCATACTTCTCCAATTGCACAAAAACCCAGTGCGCACCGCTCGGGCCCTTGGCCGCCGCTAGAGCGTAGTTAGTGAGGTTCTTCCAGTAAAAGGGTGACGTTTCTGTAGACTGCTTGGGGTTCAAGCCTGGGTCAACCACTCGGGGCGTCCTGTGTCACTTACTGGGAGGAGACCCAGCCAGGCACACAGGTCCAGGTAGGAATGAAAAACATGCTTGCTCCATGTGAGAATTTTTCCTCTGCTGCTGTTCTGTTCAGCGCAAGTTTCCGAAGAGCCTGTGGCCTGTCAAGCGCTGTGCTGGAGAACAATAATGCTCCTTTATGTGGACCATCCCCTGCAGGGCTCCCTCGGGCCAGCCTGGGTCCGGGGTCTCCGATCTCTAGCCCTCCTGACACAGGAGAGTCCTTGTTTTCCCCACTCTGGGTCTGGAGTAGACCCCAGGTGACATTGCTGAGGCTGGACTTCCCTGACTCCCAAGTTCCAGCTTGGGACCCTTCTTAGACCCAAGCCTTGGACCCTGGTAGACCGGAAGAGCCATTCAGTCAAATCTTCCCATGTAGCACTTGAATCCCCCCAAATGATCTATTCAGACTTTGCTTCCATGCCACTTGTGATGGGGTGCTCATTACTACCCAGACAGCCTTGTCCTTCTCTGGACAGCTTTGTTTTATGTTGTGCCCAAATCTGACCCACAGCAAGGGGTCAGATCTCTAATTGAGATGTTGGAGAACTGGACTCCCTTAAGCCCTCTCCCCTATCCCGGGAGCTATAGAAAGTCAAAGCTGAGCTCCCCCTGGCAAGGATGATGGAAGATTATTATTTCCAGAAAAGGCAGAGGGGACCTCCTTATGGACAGGGGATGTTCACAAGGCTTAGGACTGTGAATTTTACCCTTTATTACCCTTGCAGGAGGAAGAAGGGGTGAAGCCTGCCCCTCAGCCCTCCTTCCCTCTGCTCTGTGGCCTGTTCCCCACCTCCCCTCCCTTGGGGCCTGTGGGAACAGGACTGGGCCTCGTGCCTGCTTCCCTACCCCCAAGCCCAGCTCTGCCCAAGCAGCTGTCCTATGCAGCTGTCCTGGCCTCAGCTGCCCAGCGCTGGCTCCCATCACCCCACAGAGCTGAGAGCTGGCTGCTCTCATTCCTGGATTGTATGGCTTCAGAGAGGGGTGAGGGCAGCCGGCTTGCAGCTCCCCTCTTCCTCCTTGAGTCCCGCCCTGGCCTGTGGTCCATCAGTGCGGAAAGACAGACACCAGCGTGCTCCAGCATGGTTTGTGTTGTTTCAGAATCATGGGTGTATCACCCAGGATGACAGTGAAGAATTGGAAACAGTCGTGTGTCTAACCATCGAGTGTTGGTTACATGCTCTGTGATGTGTCTATATCTGGGACTTTAACCCCTAGGATCCTTGGGGGCTCCTGCATGGGTTTTATGGGACCTGAGAACCCCCGGAAATTATATGTAAAATGCTGCCTGTGCATGAATTTTTCTGGAGGAACCTGACCCTCCAAAATGTTAAATGATCAACAGTATGGAATCCTATGCAACATGTAAAGTTATGTTGTAGAACATTCTTCCAGCATACAGAGACAGTATATTGTAGAATGAAAAAAGCAGGTTACAAATCACGCTATATAGTAAGAGCCCAGTTTTGTTTGAAACCATCTGTGAGACACACATGCTACAAGCATAACTACTAAAATGATGACAGTTGTTTTTTTTTTTTTTTTTATCTCTGGGGTGAGATAAAAATTTTTGTTGAATTCATGTTACTCTGCTGGATGTTCTATCCGTTGGATATTCTACAAACTTGTTCCTCTACTTGTTCCCATTATGAGGAAACGGTGGAAGGAGCACTCGGTCCCTTTTCTGAGAGTCTGGACCACCCCCCCTTCTCCCCCAGCAGCCCCCTGGCCCCAGAGGGGCCTGCAGATCTGTGCCACAAGCTGTGGTCTCTCCTCTGGGTCTCCAGCAGTCACCTGCTAGCTTCCTGGCCTCCTAACTTTGACCATCATCCATGTGGGTATTTCCAAAGCCCTAGAGGATCTTATGTAATTTCCCTCCAGGCTCCATTCCCTCTGGCCTGGTAGAGGGGCCAGGCCAGACTCCAACTGTCAAAACATCAAGCAACCGAGATGGCCTATAAGCCTACCCTGCCTAGCTGTGTGGCTTTGGGCCAGTCATTCAACCTCTCTGGGCCTCAAGGCGCCATAAAATGGGACCTTATGTTAGCACCCCCCTCTGAGATTGCTGCAAGGACAAGCTGGGATGATTTGGGGCTGCTGGTCACTGATGCCCATCAGCTTTGTTCCCTTTCCTATTGGCCCTGACATACCTGTCTCCTCTCTTCTCGCCAGGGAGCTCCAGGACCGGCAGGATGGGGTCAGCCTGTATCAAAGTCACCAAGTACTTTCTCTTCCTCTTCAACTTGCTCTTCTTTGTAAGTATTACCAGCACCAGCCGACCACCTCCAGCAGAGACTCTTCCCTGCGGCAGCCCAGTCTGAGACCCTGCAGAGGCTCCAGGCCCAGGATGGTGGTGGTAGGGGGTGGGGTGGGGGGCTGAGGCAGACCATTGCAAATGGAAGTGGGTGGGGCCAGCCAGGAAATCTCCTGGAACTTGTATTCCAGCTTGTATGCCAGGGTTCTGTGGCAGGGCCCTGGGTACCTCTCTGAGCTGTCCCCTCTCCTGGAGCACTAAGGTCCTGGCTAGTCGGGGTTGGAGGTGGGCGTGCGTGGGGAAGAGCCCCCTGGGTGTCCCCTCACTCATCCGCAGAGGGTTCCCTGAAATCTTTCGTGCCCTGTGCTGGCTCCCCTGCTCTCCTGTGCCCCCTCTGAAGAATTTGCTGTTATGATCCTAGATTTCAGCAGCCCCTTCCCCCCACCCCCACTGGGGGGGTTGTACCCTCACCTCCCAGACGGTGTGCAAGAGAGGCAGGCTTGAGGCCAGAGTGGGGACACAGTCCCCCTTCCCCAGACCCACCCTGGCAGGCCTCACCGAGTCCCTGAGCCCCAGGGCTGCCCAGATGGAAGCCTGGTGTCCATCTGGAGCTGGTTTTCCTCAATTTTCCTCTCAGGCCTGGCACTGACTCCTTTTGCTTGCAGTTGCCAGGATGATGATGATGATGATGATGATGTGTGTGTGTGTGTGTGTTTGAGTGTGTATGTGAGTGATAGTATGTGAGTGTATGAGTGTGGACACATGAGAGTGTATGAGTATGGATGTGTGTATGAGTGTATGAGCAATTGGTGTGTGAGTGTGGGGGGTAGGGAGGAGACTGATGCATGTGTGAGAGTACATGTTAGTGTGCATGTGTGTGAATGTACATGCGTGTGTATCTGTGAATGTATGTGATGGGGCAGGGGGGAGAGTGATGCATGTGTGTGTGCATGCATGTGTGTGAGTGTGCATGTGTGTGAATGTGCATGTATACATGAGTGTGTAAGTGTGATGGGGCAGCAGGGAGTGGCCCAAGAGGCCTTCCTGGGCCCCGGGGGGCCTGGGGGCTGTGTCTCCTCTGTGTTAGTGGTTCAATCTCTAGCATTTAAAAATCAGGCTGAAAAACAGGATGTTTTTATTATGATCTGATTTTATTTTTAAAAACTATACACACATATGAAGATATTTTTAGAGGAGAAGATGCCTCTTCTGACAGGGATTCTTGAGAATTTGGATTTTCTTCTGCATGCCTCTCTACATTTTCCAAATTTTCCACAATGGATATGATTTCCTGGGGAAAAGGCATTACATAGGGTTGTAGACAGTTTGAGAAGTAATCGTTCTCAATTCCCCCTCTAACTATAGCTCAACACACAGGTGCTTACAAGTGTGCTCCTGGCACATGCACCCCCGCACACGTGCACGCGCACACACATGCGTCCAGACCGTGGTGGTGCTGCCTGCCCTGCCGTTGTCCGCGCTGGCTCTGGCCCCAGCCCCCTCCTTGAGGACAGTGCTGAGGCCTTGTGTGGCTGTCGTCCAGCCAGATCTGGAAGCCACCTAGGGCACCTAGGCTTCCCCTGCTTGACAGTCAGCTCCCTCCTGGCTGGGCCAGGGCTCTGGGAAATGGTTGCCCATACAGCCGGAGCCAAGCCTTCCTTGGCAAGTGCGTAGCTCCTGGGCCTCAGCCTGGCTTCAAGGCCACCTGGTCAGGACTGGGGAACAGGAGGGTCAGAATGCTGTACTTCTATCCTGGGGACCCTAGGGATTGGAGAGAGGAGTCTAGGCTATGGCCTAGGAGGTGTGGGGGCTTGCAGCCAGGGGCACAGCCTGTTCACCCCATGCAGTGAGAGGGAGGGGATAGAGACTTTGCAGAGAAAGGAAACAGGGTTGATGGTTTTGGCCAAAGAGTCCCTTCTCATCCTGCTCCTAGCCTGCCCCGTGGAGCCAGAGACTGGAAAAGCTTGTCTCTGGCCAGAGCTTCGGGGGCTGGCTGGCGGGAGTCAGGTGTTAACTCCCTGTGTGCTGGGGCCCAGGATGGCCCCCCAGGATGTGGGGACGGGTGGGGCGGGAGAGGGCAAAGGAGAGACTTACAGGGACAGTGTGCGTTTGTCCACTCATTCGCTCATCACCCATTCGCCAACGGGATATTTGACATCTCTGTATTCAGACCCCAATTGTGGGTGCCAGGTGGACATGCCAACAGAAGAGCCATGGTTTCTGCACTTGGGGCTGTGTTCTGGGGGTGCGGGGTGATGTGGGCTCCAGTCAAGTACTTATTCAAATGGATGATAAAAAGGCGGTTGTGCTAGGTGCTGGGCATGAAGGATACGGCCCCCAGGAGAGCAGAGAATAGGGCAGTTGACCCTGTCGGGATGGTCAGCAAAAGCTCCCTGGAGTTGTAGGTGTGGCGGGCCGGAGCAGGAGGGGAGGGGGGAGTTCTGGGAGAAGCAGCAAAAGTCCAGCGTGGGGGAGTGGGGCAGAGGGTGGCTCCCCGGGATGCAGGCCGCACCCGCCTTCCAGGAAGGATTCTGGTCTTTGTTTTATGCACAGTGGGAAGTGGTTACATGATCAGACTTGTGGTTTGGAAAGTTCGCTCTGGCTGCTGTGTGTGCTCGTGTGTGCGTACGTGTACATGTGTACATCCTTGCCTGCAACCCTTCCCGGCCCCAAACTCCCCACAAAATTGCCTCATCAGCTATTCTTAGGTTCACAGAAGCCCAGAGGCTGCTGATGCTGTGCTGTTCTGGGGAAGGACACTGGCGTGAGGGTCCCGGCTCCTGGCTGAGTCCGTCGGGAGATTCTGGTGGAGCTGAGGGGTGGTTCATGTGGGGGGTGCCCCATGGTTCCCATGGTTCCAGTCTGTGGTTCCCCCTGTTTTGGTTGGCTGCCTGGCTGGGCCTTTCTCCTGCTGGCCTACAGCCTCCTGGCTGCTCCAGCCATACCAGATGGCAGTCGTTGAACATGAGACCCACAGAGGGACCGACAGGCCAGTGCCTTTTTGGGTGCTTTGAGGCCAGCTGAGGAGGTTAGCTGGGCAGCCCTGGATTTCCATTGACTTGGGGCTGTGTTTGCCCAGAGGGTATTTTCTGCCCTACCCTGTGAGAGCAGAGGTGGGCAGGTGAGGGGCTGCCATAGGGCTCTGAGGTACACAGGAGCAGACCGTGGGCCCGACGCCTGGCCATTGGCCAACCGCGCCGTGAGGTGCGGGCTTGGGGTGGGCAGGGCCTCGAGAATCATTGGGAACCAGACTCCCAGGTTCTGTAAAGTCCCCCTTCATCCCAGCAAGCTGTGTCACCTGAGGGGAACCTTTCCCCTCAAAAGCACCTCAGAAGCCTCCCTGTCCCCAGAGACTGACTTTCCAGGTGAAGGCCCAGGACCGGTCCCAAGGGTCCCTGCTGCTAGTGTGCCACCATCTGACCTGGCTTCCAACCCCTCATGGATGGACTGGGTGACCTTTGGCAAGGTCTGGGCCTCTGTTTCCCCCATCTGTAGCATGAAGACAGTAACAGGGTCCACCTGGCAAGGGGGGAGGTGGTGACAAGTGGCCTGCTGGGAGACAGGAGAGATGTAGGGTCATCATCAGCTGCGGTTGTTTTTAAGGGGCCCAGAGGAGCGTAGGGTGAGTGAGGTCCTCGCTTGGGGATGAGAAGTGGCACCACGCTGTGCCTCAGGGCTTTGCTCCCTTTAAAAAGAAAAAAAAAAAATCACAATACCCATCCCGCCTTTATTTAAAAGGTTGATATTTTATCATGGATTTTAAAATTAATTCTGGTTTTTAAAAAAGAATTACTGTAAATTCTTATTAATCTTGGTTGCTGAGTTTTTGGTTTTCATTTTTTATTTTTTGGCATCCTCTTAATTTTTATGCCCAGGGCAAGCATCCTGTTTGCCTTACTCTGGGCCTGGCTCTGGCTTTAATGATGATACTGGGTAGAGCAAGGCTGTTGGAGCCCCTTGGGCTGGGGTGCTCACACCACCCCGCAGGCTTTGTCAGTAGCTGCTGACCTTGCAGAGTAGGGGATGATGGCTGAGGTGGGGACCCGGAGCCTGTGATAGAGGTGGGTGGTGACATGCTAGGACTCTCAAGGTGGCTGATTCCTGAGGTAGGCTCAGGCCAGGCCCTGGGAGAAGGGCAGCACTGTGGGCCTGATGCAGGATCCTCTACTCCCCAAGGGAACCTGGGCCTTTGCCCACACTGTAGGCTCTTCCCAGCCTTAGCTGGCTTGGTGGGATGTGGATCTTGGCTGGGTTCCAGCTGGGGAGATAGGCTCAGGCTGTGGGCCTTGCAGATTAGGGGAAGGGGGAGGAAGCAGGGAATCCCTGGGCCTATCCCTGCCACTCGCCCCACACCTGCCTTTCTATTCCTGCCTTTCCAGTGGGTTCATGAGCTCATTCCTTTCCTGAGCATTTAGCTTATAGGCCCCTGGACATACAGAGCTGCATGCAACCTGACCCTGACCTCAGGGAGCTCACAGTCTACCAGAGAGAGACACACACAGAGCACATTAAATCCAGTGGGAGAGGGGATCCCTGGGTGGCTCAGTGGTTTAGCACCTGCCTTCAGCCCAGGGAGTGATCCTGGAGTCCCGGGATCGAGTCCCACATCAGGCTCCCTGCATGGGGCCTGCTTCTCCCTCTGCTTGTATCTCTGCCTCTCTCTGTGTGTGTGTCTGTCATGAGTAAATAAATAAAATCTTAAAAAAAAAATCCAGTGGGAGAGGCACCTGGGTGGCTCAGGTCATGATTCTGGGATCCTGGGATCGAGTCCCACATCAGGCTTCCTGCATGGAGCCTGCTTCTCCCTCTGCCTATGTATCTGCCTCTCTCTCTCTGTCTCTCATGAATAAATAAATAAAATCTAAAAAAAAAAAAAAAAAAAAGCCAGCAGGATTGGCTATTAAGAAGGGTCCAAAGGTAGTTACCACAGAGTAGGGGACCCTCTGTCTGCCTGGGGGGGTCAGGAGCTCTGAACAGCAAGTGGGCTTTATTGTTCAAGTCCATGGAAGGATTTCTCCAGAGCTTGTTTGGGATGTCCTCAGCCCCTGAGCCAGGCTAGGGTGGAGGGGATGAGCATGGGAGAGGGCCAGGAGGTAAAGTAGAAAGGTACTCCTGGGAGGAGGCTGCACCCCTCAAAGCTAAGAGGCATGGTCTGACCATGTATGGGCATGGGGTAGGGGAGATGGAGACAGAAGGGGCTCCCCACGCATGGCCCTACTGTGTGGTTGGTGGTGCATACCAGGACTGGGGGTGTGGGAGTACCTGAGGATGGAGGTGGTGCTCCCCCCATGTCCTGGCCTGGCTGCAAGGGCAGCTGGGCAGGGCCCCCTCAGGCCCCCATTCACTGCTCCTTCTCCTTCCAGATCCTGGGCGCGGTGATCCTGGGTTTCGGGGTGTGGATCCTGGCCGACAGGAGCAGTTTCATCTCTGTGCTACGTAAGGGTCCCCCTGATCCCCCACCCCTCACCCCCCCGGCCCTGCCCAGCTGGCTCTGGAGCGGTGGGCCTGGGCAGCAGGCAGGGCAGCTCCTGAGTACTTGAGCCTCAAAGCCAGTCACTCTTCCAGCTGACCTCAGGGCCTTGCCCAGGTCCTGTGCTGACCACTCTGCCCCGGGCCCCTCTGCAGGGGTTTTCGGAAAGAATTTTCTCTCCCTCCCCACACAAAGCTGCTGTTGTCTGAAGAACACTGGGGGTTGAGGGAGGCTTGCTCTCCCATCCCAGGCCCTTTCCCCGCAGCCCTGACCTTGAGAAAGCCTCTTACATTCCCTGTCCCTCCGTTTGCCAGCTCAGCAAGATGTGGGCAACAGCCCCTCCCCAGTCATTCAGGGAAGTGTAGGAAAGGCCGGGAAAGACTGATCGTCTTGTCAGGAGTTGATGGTGTGCCTACTGTGCGCCTGGTGCCAGCTAGATGCGTCAGGCCTGTGGACCGAGGGGGAAGCCACCAGCCCAGCTTCCGTTGTTTGTGCTCATTGTGTGCCAAGCCCGGGGCCCAGCATTTTGCACATGAAAATTGCCTTAATCCCACAACAGCCCTGCAAGGTATTCTAGTCCCACCTTACAAATGAAGAGATGTGGCTCAGAGAAGTGATGCCCCTGGCTCGTGTTCACAGAGCGTCAGAGTGATAGGTGTGAGACTTGAACCCCTAGAGCTTTGATCCTAAATGCTGCCCGTGGTAGGGGGAACCGCAGCATGGAAGCCCCTTCTCTTACTACTGAAGCAGAAGGAAAGAAGGCCAAAGCACTCCCGCACAGACGACGAGAGCCTCTCCAGGTCTACTCACAGCTTCCCCCAGGAAGCCTGCCAGGCTTGCTGCACTGATCTCATGGGCACCCTGAGGTGGAAGGGAGGCACAGCTGAGGGCCCCAAGTAGCACAGTGATGCCACTCCTCTCAGTGAGTGCATCCTTGGCTCACTTCCCTCCCAGCTGCCGCTGAGGCAGCAGGTTTGGCCTCAGGCCCACGACAGCTGCTTGATTTGAATAAAGCGGAACCAGGCTAGGATGGGTGATGGAGAGGCCACACCTGTCACTGTGGCCCCAGGGGGCCAGGCCTCCCCTCAGACCTGAAAGGAAGCAAGGAAGGTCCACCCTCCAGCCACATCCGATGCAGCCTGGGGCTGGCTGTTAGTTCTGCCTCCTTCTGGGGGGCTGCAGACTGGGGGCTTGGGTCTGCATTTCCCACCCCTGCTCCCTATGCCTTCCCAATGGGGGACACTTGCTCCTCCGCCCTGATTAGGGCCAGGCTCCCCCACTTCCTGGCTGTGGCCCACACCCAGTGGGCCCTGCACCATGGGGCAAAGTCTCAAGGCCCAGCTCACCAGCTGCATCTTTGTCCTCTGCACTTCGCCCCCGGCCGCAGGAACCCTCCTGCTGCACCTCTGGCCTCCTCCCTGTTCAGTTCGCAGACTCTTGAGCTGCCGGGATCTAGAGGTCCCCTAGATGCACCCGGAATGTTTGCACAAATACAAGGGCCCTGGGCCCACCCCAAAGGATTTGACTCCATTGGTGTGTGGGTGGTGGGCCTGGAGCACTGTGGTTTTTTAAAAACTCCCCAGGTGATTTCCCAGGTAGCCAGGGTGCAGAAGCACTGATCTAGCAGAGGGAAAAGATTTGCTAAGAGTCACACAGCACGTAAGGGCCAGGGCTGTGACCCAGGACTCCTGACCTGCTCTGTTCCAGGCCTGCATGACACAGCTCTTCCCTCACCTAACTGAAGCCTCACTGTGAGTCCACGGGGTGAGGTGTCTCTGTCCCCATTAAACAGTGGAGGAAACTGCAGCCACAGAGAGGGAAAGTAACTCATCCCGGGACACATAGCCAGGTGCTGGAGCCGGGATGTGAACCAGGCGGCATGGCTCCTGAGCTCCCACACTCTGAGCCCCTGTACTGCAGGGTTCCATAGGCGTCACGCATTCCTGCCTTAACCAGAGGGAGCAAGCGTCATGGTGTGGAGCAGACTCTAGGGCTGGGCTGCCGAGGTTCAGATCCTGGCCCTGCTACCTACTAGCTGGGTGATCCTGGGCCAGTTACTTCACCTCTCTCTGCCTCTTCATCTGGAAAATGGGAGTAGTAATAGAATATATCCCATAAGGTTATGGTGAAAAATTAAATGAGTTAATATACAAGAAGCATTTAGAACAACTCCTCCTAGTCACCCCTACATAAGTGATTGTTAAATTGATAATAACATTTTTAAGAAGGAGGATTTAGTTCGATTTTATAGAGAAAGAAACAGAGGCCAGCAAGGCCAGCGAACAGCTTGCCCACATTCAGAGCCGGTTAGCAGCAGAGCTGGGATTAGACCCCCTATGTTGTTGCCTCGGGTCTCTTTATATTGGGCCGCTTCTACCTCGCTGGCACCTGCCGGGCCTGGCAAGACCAAGATGTTTCTGCCATGCACAGCGGAGGGCCACCCCAGAATGTCCACTTGTCCCCTTCCTAAATCAGGTTGCTCAGATTGGGGCCAGCCTGAGACTCCGGGTGAGGTCAAGGACTGGCGTCCACTAGATGTTCTGAGAAGCCGAGACCCCGCGACCGGGCTGGCCTCCTGGGAGAGAACCTGAGTTGGTGGTCTCAGCCCTGGGGTCTTGCCTGCTGCCCCCCCCCCACGCCCCTGGCACTCCCCGCTGGGCTTCAGGGCTCTTAGGGACAAATTAGAATGTAAATCTACCCTCAGCGGCCTGTTGTGGAAATAAAGCAGATGATTCAGATAAAGGGCCTTGTTCTGGCTGGCACACAGTGGATTCCAGGCCGTGCCAAGTTCCTTTTCTCTGGGAGTAGTCCCTGGGAGGAACCCGAACCCGGGAAGCTTAGAAAAAGTAGCACTGGATGGCTTCCTCCTGACCATGCTGATTGCTGAGAGCAGGGCTGTCAGGGCCTGGAATGAAAGTGGGGGTTCAATGCCAGGAGCCCCCCACCCTCCCCCCAGCAGGGCACTGTCTCCTCCTGCCCACATCCCCGCCTGCTTGGGGGCTCCTGCAGAGGAGCTGGGCGGGAGGCAGCCTTGCCCTGGCACCCTGAGAGCAGAGTGGGCTGGCCAGGGCCCTTCCTGAGCTCCAGAACATCCTTCTGACCAGGAAGTGGAGCCGAATCAGGCCCTCCTCTCCACCCACACTTCAGCTTTGTAGTTACTTCTTAAGGGCAGGAACGCCCCCTGGATGGCCCAGGGTGGGGCCCTCAGCTTTCCGAGGCCCCCCAGGGAGCTGGCCAGTGTTCTCCTTGCTGACGTCACTCCTGCCAGCTCTGGACATGCCCCCCTTAGGAGAGCACAATAATTTGCAGATTCCAGGTGGTCTTGCAGGAAAAGTCTGTCCAGTTGTGATGGACCCAGGAACCTACTTCCCTAAGAGGTTCCCCTGATCTGCTAATGCACTCCAGGATGCTCTCCAGCTTTCTGGAAACATCCTGCCCCAGCTGCCTCCTGAGGGTGCAGGGGCTGTGGTGGGAGGAGTCTGCAGCCCCTTGCCAGTGGGGGAGGCACATCGACCCTGGCGCTCCTGGCATATGACCACCCCTGGGTAGAGCGCACCTCGTCCAGGTGGGCTGAGGGTGGGTGTGAGCCACGTCCTGTTCTGGCAGGGGATGTGCTGGTCTTCTTGGGAAATGCTGGTCCAGTGCCCCGACCTCCACCCACCGGGTGGGCTCTGTCTGCCCACGGCCCTGAAGAGGGTCCCTTGCCATCGGGCCCCTCCCTCCATGCCTGAAGCATGTCACCTGTCGGACTCACAGTGGCCTGTTCTGTCTCCTTCAAATACATCAGCCTCATTCCTTCCTCCTTGCTGTTCCCACTGCCTGGAACTCCTCCCCCTCTCAGATCTTCACTAGGACTGAGTCCCCATTCTCCTCTCAGCTCAAATGTCACCTGCTCAGTCCAGCCTTCCCCAGCCACCAGCCCACTCCCTGCCCCACGGCTCTCTACATGGAGCTGGCTTCCGTGTCTGTGTGCGGCTCTTCCCACAACCCGGAGATCTGTTCCGGGCACTTACTGTCTCTACGCCCCCACCCCACTGAATGGCAGCTCCTTGGTGTGGGACCTCCTCACTCCAACTTCTGTATCCCCAGCAGCCAGCACCCAGTCTGGCCCACGGTGGGCACCTGGTAAACTGGTTAGCTGAATGAATGCGCGTCTGTGTCAATAGGTGTGTCCCATGCTTCAGGAGAAGGAGCCTGCAGGTCTCTAAATCCCAGCCCCGCCCTGGGCCCCCACCTCTCTGAGCCTCAGTGAAATGGCTGGGCCAGTGCCTACCAGACAGAGCTATGTCAGAGCTGGGGTTGGTGTGTGTGGAGCCCTAGGGACACAGGGAGTGGGTGGGACAGCCTGGTATTTACCGTTATAGGGACAGGGAGGAAAGCAGGCCTTTAAAGCCTGTGACCCCAGCAGGGGGTGAACCTTCCAGGCTGTGGTTCATTCATTCAGCACACCTTTCAGGCGACACTTTGCTGTGCCAGAGGCTGTTAGGAGTGGGGTATAGCTAGGGGCTCAGCAGGGATCAAAGTCCCTGTCCTTGTCCAGTTCACCTCGAAAGGTGGGGGTCGCAGGCAAGAACAGTAGTAAAACATAGCTTTTGCAACCCTAAACACCAAGGAGAAAATTAAGAGGACTGGGGATTAGGATAGATTGGGGTTGGAAGGGAGAGAGGGCACACATCCACAGGAGGGATGCGGGGGGAGGGAGCAGGGTCCCCGTGGGTGGGGCAGGGGTGGGGGGCTGACCCCAGTGCTCTGACTCTAAGGGGAGTGGTCCCAGACCTTGGGGCCCTGCTCCTGGTGGTGTGCCTGGCTGATCATATGCCCTTCTTTCCACCCCAGAGACCTCCTCCACCTCCCTCAAGGTGGGGGCCTGTGTCTTCATCGGCGTGGGTGCCGTCACCATGTTCATGGGCTTCCTGGGCTGCATCGGTGCCATCAAGGAGGTCCGCTGCCTGCTGGGGCTGGTGAGTTCCCTGTCCACAAGTGGGGCCTATGCTGCCCTGGGCCAGCTGTGGGAATGTGCACAGCTGTGAGCGGGACGGGGGCACCTGCGGGGGGCCATGCAGCTGACTCCATGCTGCTCTGTGTTCCAGTACTTTGCCTTCCTCCTCCTCATGCTCATCGTCCAGGTGGCCGCTGGAGTCTTCTTCTACTTCAACACAGGCAAGGTAAGCATCCTTCTGGCTGGGCTGGGCTGGGCTGAGGGAGAGACAAAAGGGCCTCTTAGTTGTCACAGACAAACTCAGGAGGTGCCCAGCAACTCCCTGCCCCACCACCCTGGGTCCTTCGTCCCTGTGACCTGCTGGGATATGAGGGGGGGCAGCATCTTGGGTGGAGTTGCTGCTGGGCCTGCACACAGCTCTACCCCAGCACTTTGTAGCTGTGGGGCAGCGGGTAAGCCACTCGCCTCTCCGTGCCTGTGTCACCTTTCTGCAAACGAGGGACAGTGATAAATTTGACTTCCAAGGTTCTGGCGAGGATTCAGTGAGATTATCTTAGTAAAACACAGCACAGTGCTTGACATGGTAAACACCCAATAAATGTTGTTTTTCTTGTTTTTATTCAAGCACCTCAGCAAGTACTAAATCCATGTCACTCATCCACAGATGAGGCCCAGGGAGGAGACTGTTCAAGAAAGAGATTAGTTTTGTAGGGCACCTGGGTGGCTCAGTAGGTTAAGCGTCTGCCTTTGGCTCAGGTCATGATCCTGGGGTCCTAGGATGGAGCCCCGCATTGGGCTCTCTGCTCGCTGCGGAGCCTGCTTCTCCCTCTCTCTCTGTCTACTGTTCTCTCCAGCTTGTGCTCCCTCTCGCTCTGTCAAATTCAAACAAAAAATTAGTTTTGTATCACGGAGAAGGCACTCAGCTTTAAGAAATAGAAAATCAGGCTGACTGCGGCTTCAACTCTAAAAACATTTGCTGTCGACTTAACCAGAAGTTGGGTTGGACTCTCAGGGACCATGCTTCCCACTCTCTGTTCAGTATCCTCATCATGCCGCTTGCTTCTTCACACCACTCACCTCATGGTCACAAGACAGCTGCCACAGCACCAGGCACAACATCTGTACTGGTGTAGCCAGAAGAAAGGGCAAGAGGCAGTGCCAGCCACCCCCAGCCCTTTTATCTGAAAAGCAAGTCCTCCAACAGTCTTGGCTAGACTGGGTCACAAAGGCACCCCTGGCTTCAGGGGGACTCTAAGGACAGAGGCATAAGGGAGAAGGGAAGCTGGGAATAGCCACTGGGTGAGACTGTCAATGGTGACTGTCAAGGTGACCCCCTATGGAGCACCTACTGTGTGCACATGGCATCTTCTGGGGGCTTTACACACATTGTCTCATCTTCATGGCAGTTGTGCCCTGTGTTAGGTTGACAGAGGGAGACAGGTATTCAGAGAGGTTAGAGCAATAACATCACAAGAACTAAAATCCTCAGGACCCTGGCAGTTGACTCAGGGCACACCCTATGCTACTGAGTACAGTGCCGACCACTTTACTTTCATTCTTTCATGGATGCTCTCCATGCCTCCCCTGTCGGGGTAGCATGAGAATCCCCATCCAGCAGGGGAGGGGCAAAGGCACCCAGCCTGCCAGGGGCCAGGCCAGGCAGGGGCACAGACTCCAGGACTTAGACCCATGGCACATGGCCCGTGACCCAGCGGACCCTAGGACACCTGCCTTCCTCCAGCACTACGGTTCTCATCCACCAACTACCCAATCAGAGCAGGTGGCTAGTGGGTTCCTGCATTTCACCACTGGAAGGTCCAGTTGCCTCAGATCACCCTTAGAAGGAAGGTGGGAGGGCAAGTGGGGGGCTCAGCCAGTGAACAGCGGAGCCCGGATTTGAACCCAGGCAGCCTGCCTTCGGGGTTCATATGGGTGAATTTGTCATTGCTGTGGTTCCAATCTGAGTCTGCTCTACTTATCTGTAATCCACGCCCAGCCTGCTTCTCAGGAGAATACAGCTGAGTTCCAGCACAGGGACAGGGTAACTAAAATCATAACAAGAGGTTGGACTGCACAATGGAAGAGGAAAAGCCATGTCCCAGAAGCCAGGGCACTGGATATTGTCATTGAGGGCTAACTTGAATACTGAGCTTCCCAACAGCCAAGGCAAAAGGAGAAATAGCAGTTTCAGTAGATGAAAGGAAGCTCTCTTGGCTGTCAGACAGGAAGCCGGTGTTTAAGGGAGGGAAACTCTTTTTCTCCGTGAAAGGATTGTGAGATCCAGTCTTTTGATTTCTGCCCCTTGGCACCTGGGCTTCTCTGGGACCCAATTAGGGTGGAAAAGAACTGGGCCCTGGTGAGCTGGTTTCTATGACTCAGGGGTCTTGGGCGGTCCACCTTCCCACAGTAATAAAGATGGCATCCATCTGTCGGATGCCAACCACATGTCAGGAGCTGAGCTGGTAACTTGATACACATTTCAGTTTCACAAGCGGTTTCCAGTGTAAGAAACTGAGGCCGGGAAAAGCAAAATGGCTTGTGGCCACAGCCACACGTAGCTTGGATGCGTCAGAGTGGAGCATTCCTTCCCCATCCCTCTGACCCAAGGCCCATGCCACCCTCTACAGCACGCCGCCTCCCTGTGGGCTGTATAATCTGCTTGGCCAACGACCAGCAGCTATGCCTCGGAGGCGTCCTGCGGCCCCTGAGCAAGGCTGGTGTGGCGAATCAGGACTCCGGACTGCAGTCCAGACTGTCTGCCATACCCCCCCCCCCCGCCCCATTCCCTCCTGCTTTCCCCTCCCCACCGGGCTCCGTGCCTCATGCCCCCTGGTCCCAGCCCAGCTCACCTGGGCCCACCTCTCCTACAAGGCACAGGGACATTTCCTGGCTCTGCTGGGGAGGTTCTGCCCAAGTTGGAATGAATGATTTATTTTTTCTCTCCCAGCACACTGTAAATCCCGCTGGGAGACTAAACATGTCCTTGATGATGTTTATTCCCGCAGATGAGGTCCAGCTGGGGAGGTGGGCCTTGGCGGGGCCTGGAGGAAGAGGCCTTTTAAAGGCAATGCCCCCCCCACCCCCGCACTGTCCAGGCCTCCCGGGCAGGTGGGAGGGCCTGAGCTGCTGGGCTCCCCACCTCTCCCCAAGTTTTCTCCCGGGATGGCACTGGTCCTTCCTGCCCCGTGTTCCCATCGGCCATTGTCCCCAGGGCAGCAACAGTGGTGGGGTGGGGGGCAGGGGAATGGTTGGACCAGGCACATGGCCTCTCAGGCCCTGGGTTCTGTGTCCAACCCTTCACCCAGGGTTGAAGTGAGCACAGCCAGCAACACTTTTATAAGATGGAATGGTGGCCTAGGCCTCGACTCTAGAACCAAACGGCCCCCCTATGTTGGAATCACCTCTCGGAGGCCCTCGGCAAGTGACTCAACCTCTCCGCTCCACTTGCCTCGCGGGTCAAACAGCAGTAACCACACAGGTCCACTCCCCCTCCGAGCTGCAATTCTGAAATCTAAAAACCACTCCGAAAAGCCGAAATGGCATTTGCAGCTTATTTGATGGCAAAATCAAACCCAAACAGAAGCAAGGCTATTTCTGGCCTCTGTGTACCCCATTTAGGTGGCCCTCGGGAACTATGAATGGGAGAGAGTTCGGGGTGTGACACAGACCCCAATCCCTTTCTAAAATTGGAACGTTGCTCAGCGCCACAGCACGCTGGGCCCGAGGGCTGTCTCACAGCTCTGTGCTGCAGATCTGAGAGCGCAGCCGTATGGGAAGGGCGTAGTGCAGCGCCTGGCCCGGGGCAGATATTTGTTGGCATCATTGCAAGGGTTTATACTGTGATGTTCACCATCATTAACTTCCTTGATGCTTAGTGAGGGCTCAGTAAATGGCAGCCGTTCCTGTTGTCACTGGTGTTAGGATTAGCAAGAGCCGTAGGGGCCAGGATTAGGGAGTGGAGGTTCCTCCAGCCTCTGTTCTATGGCCCAAGTCTGGGCTTCCGGAGCCCTGCGTTCTAGGGTGAGCTCTGCCACTGGTTGCTCATGGGCTCAGACGACATAGCCAGCCTCTCTGAGTCTCAGCTGGCATCTCCGGCCTTTCCCAGCTCTGACACTGGGATTCAGACTCTCCAGGAGGTGGAGAGTGGGAGAGGGTCAGGAGGGAGGAAGCAAGCACGCTCTCTGCTGGGGCATGTGCTAGGCACTGGCCTTAGCGTGCTCATGCAGGCCATACTGCTCACCTGCCCCACAGCCCGCACAGGTGAGGCCTCTGTGACTTTGGTGGGTTACGTCAGGGCCTTGAGCCGAAGGCCTGGCGGCTGAAGCTTGGAGGGCAAGGGGCTCGCATGGGCTGGGTGAGCACTGGGGGTTGGGGTGGTGACAGTGGCCAAGCCGCACCTCTGTGTGCCTCCCAGGGAGGATGGTCAGGGAGCTCTATGATGCCCTCCCCCCTCTTTCCTTTTTTCACCTAAGGAGCTCAGGATAGCCAGTGGGCATGTGCCTGCCCTAACTTACAGGTGGTAAGACAGGTTCCCCGAGGACAATGCCTTCTGTGACATGCCTGCTCCCCGTGAGGGAAACTTCCTGATCCCCTGGCCAGGGCTGCTACCAGCCTTGGGGCGGGGGGCAGCTGGAGCCAGGACAGAGAGAGGTGACCTTCATCTTCCCTTTTGGGAAAGAAAAGAAGGCATCCAGGTGGTCCTTCTGGAAGGGGATCATGGAGAGCAGTGAGATGGAGATTGTTAAGGCACCGGGTGCTGGGTGCTAGGTGCCTACATGGCTCCCTGGCTGTGGAGGGTGGGGCCTGAGTTGGGCCCCGCCCTCACGGAGCCTACTGGAGCCTGGGGAGTTCTGGGGTAGCTGATTGTGTACATATGCAGCCCGATTTCAGGAAAGGCTCAGGTGGTGACTAAGAGTAAACACGCCACCTCCCCCTTCTGCATCCACCATCGCCCTCATGTCCTATCGGGATCCCAGACTGAAGCCTCAGACCCGCTGTATCTGCATTCTGGCAAAGCTCTTGGCGACATATCCTGTGGGAGCCCCGGGAGAGAACAGGAAGGTGTGGGTCCATTTCATTGCTTGGAGGGCCACCTTGTTCTCGAGGGCAATTTGATGCATTTGCATAAAGAGTGTGGAGAGAGCTCTGGACATCATCCCAAGAAGTGGTAGAGGAGCCAGAGAGGAGGGGGCGAAGGGAGACTAGTCTGGTCTTGAATATCCAAATGGTTTGTCCGAGGAGAGAGCGACCTGATTTGTTTGGTATGATCCCCTCTGGGACTTGGGAGGGAGTGAAGAGGAGGAGAACTCAACATTAATGAGTGGAAGTCTTTGGAGCTCAATTTAAAATAAAGTGCATTTATCAAGAGCCTCCCCACCCCTGCGATGTGCCACTCTGAGGTCCTGAATTCCCCATACAGGCAGCCTTTAAGCAAAGCCTGGAAAAAATATGGGAAGGACTCTTACTCTTAACATTTGCATGATATGCTAGATTCAGAGGTCTCTTCTAATCATCCTCTGCGTGAAAAGTCACACTGCAAGGTGAAATGAAAACACAGCATCGTGGTACTGGGGAGTCACCCCAGAGGATGGTGCCATCTGGGGTCAGGTGGAGATAGTGGGTGGTTTGCTGTGGTGGAGATCTCAGGCTTCTGGGGCTGGAAGTATCAGGATTACAGCCCTGTCTCTGCTGTTTGCTAGCTGTGTGGTCGTAGGAAATTTAAGCCCACTTTTGGAACCTGTTTTCTTTTCTGGGAAATGGGGAGGATGGTACGGGGCAGTTCCAGGGCTGGCTTCCTAGGCCTGTGATCTGGGCAGTTACATAGGATCCATGCTTGGCTTATACTCAGATGCTACTGTGTTGAAATTCTTAGTCATTTTTAAGCAAGGGACCATGCATTTTCATTGTGCACTGGGCTGCAATTATGCTGCTGGTCCTGGGCAGGCTTTTTTTTTTTTTTTCCTGGGCAGGACTCTTCATTGCTTTGATAATAACGCAACTGGCCTGAGCTGACTGGAGGCTCAGCTGGTCCAGATTTCCAAAGGCTGCCACCAGGACTCTGCCCCTCTCCATCCTGTGCTCCTTCTCTCCTCCGTCGGCTCCCTTCTCAGGCAGGCAGTCCCCCAGCGGAGCCTCAGGTGGCCACCAGCCACAAAGGCCCTCATCTCGCCAGATTAGCAGAAATAGGAGGTCACTTTGGGTAACCTGCCCATCCTTGAACCACTCGCTGTGCCTAGGGTGGAGAAGGCGCCAAGTGGTGACCTGGGACTCGCCCGTGTCAGCAAGGGGAGCAGGGCTTCCCAGGCTCATGGAGGAATCGAGGGGGTGGTTGCCCCTCAGGAAAGGAAGTGCTGTTTCAAGAAGGGAGCATCTGGTGCCCACCAGGTGGAAACCACAGAGGCAGGCCCCGCAGGGATGAAGTGAGAGAGTGAGCATCTCCCCACTCCCTGTTCCTTGCTCTCTCTTGTCTCAGGAACTACCTGGTTGCCAGGGTGACCTCCCTGAGCTCCCAACATGGGCTCCTGGGCATTGGAATCCCAAGGCATCAGCTCTGAGCTGAACCTGCTCCCACAGCCGTGATCCCTATGGCTGGGCTCTGTCTCTCACCCACATTCAGGTCTGCAGGATGGTGTGGTGTTTCCATGGAAACCACCCAGCCTCAGTGGAAACCACCCAGCTCCATCCCTTTTCTCATTTCAGGGGGCCTGAAAGAGGGAAGTCTGGGCTGCCGTGGCAACCACACAGGGGTATAAATAGAGACTAGGTCCGCGGGGGAGGGCAGGTAGGACAGCTGTGAGACAGGCAGCTCTCCATGCAAATGCCTCTGGGGGCCACCCCCCTCCTCCTTTCCACGCCTCAGGGATCATCCACCCACCACCCACCCGGGAGGAGAGATGGAGCAGAGATGACCCGGGACCCATGGGAGCCAGCCCCAGCTGTATGACAGGAGCCAGCCACGTAGCAGCTTCTCCGGGCCCTCCTTAACGCAGCCCTGACCTCCTTCAGGGTGTGGCCAAGTGGTTTAAGTGCTGATGGAGCTTAAAGGGTCACAAATTGGGTTCTGGGTCCCCATCCCAGCTCTTCCCTATGTTGGCTGTGTGACCTCTGCCAAGTTAATCAACCTCTCTGGGCCCCGTTTTCCACATCTCTAAAATGAGGGAATGAGGTACATACTGAGGCCCTAGGTCTGTTCTAAGGATTAAAATGAATTGATGCACTGAAAGTGCTTAGCGCAGCGTGGGCCTGTAACAAGGGTTTGGCAAAAGTTGGCCACCGCTATGGTGATTAATTACCCAGAGGGAAGCTGTGTGCGTCGTCGTAAAGCTCTGAGTAAAACAGAGAGTGCCATGCTGGGAGTTCTATGAAGAGGGAGAAAGGCAGAGGGCAGTCCTGGGCAGGGGGGCCCCGTTTCCCAGGGTTAGTGGAGGGGAGGGTGAGGAGTCAGGGCTGCAGGTCCATCCGGAGGATGTGGGTTCTCTGAGGGCTGCGTTTGTGAGCTGCCTGTGGGGTGCTGGCGGAAGCCCGCTCGCTGCCTTGTGAGCCGGGCCCTGAAAACCCCTGCCTGGAAGTACCTGTCCTACATCCTAATTCCCCTTTCCCCTGAACCGGGGGTGGGGGGGGCAAGTTTGCGGCTGTCCCCTTGGTACAGGGGCTTACGGCTGGGCCCCTCACCCTGGGGGTCTGTGGTGACAGCAGGTGGCTATCCCTAGCTTCTTCATGCTGGCGTGCCAGGAAAGGCCCCTGAGCAAGGTCCACGGAAGCGGCCAGGTGGGCCCAGGCTGGGTCTGGCTCTTGGGGGGCCCCCCTGGCTCCCACCTGGGGCGCGGGCCCCGTTGTCAGGTCTCAAGGCAGGTTTCGGTTTTGCCTCCCTTTGCAACTTGTTCCTGAAAAGCTGCCGCAGTGAGATCCCCTGTTGAGAGCACCACTGAGGGACCTTTGGTTCCCCGCACCCCTCACCTGCCTTCTTGGGAAATCATTATTCCCTTGGTGGGGTTAAGGCAGAGTGGGCGCTTCTCTCCCTCACCGAGGGACCCTGAATTCCCAAACCTGGTGGAAGACCAGCACAGTCAGGATTTGGGTTTTGGGGGGCCCCGGGGGCAGGCATGAGGATTAACTGGGAGAGCGTGGGAGCACCCCCCGCCCCCGAGTGTGGCGTACGGTGGTGACCATGCACCACACATCTGCCGTGGCCAGGCTTCTCCAGAGATGGTCCTTGCTCCCCTGGATCAGACATTCTAGTGGAGGGACAGATAATATGCCCTGAACACAAAAGAGCACGCAATGGCAGTGCCACGGAAGGAAAAGACAGCACGCCTACCCTTGCAGGTGGAGGAGGGTCAGGGGGGGTGTGTGGAGGGGGTGGAGAAGGGGTGTGTTCTGTCGAGTGGTCCAGGAAGGCCTTTCTGATGAGGTGACTGAAGGAGGTGGAGGGGTGAGCCGTGTTAATGTTTGGGGGAGGAGGATACAGGTGGTGGGCATAGCAAGTGCAAAGGTCCTGTGACAGGAGTGCCACCTCACAGGAAGCCAGCAAGGAGATCTGTGTTATTGAAGCAAAAGGAGCAAAAAACAGAAAATGAGGTTTGGGAAAAGCAGGGGCCAAACAAGGTAGGGCCTTGCGGGCCATTGCCAGGATGTTGGCATTCTCCCCGAGACGGATGAGAGCAGCAACATGAGAGATTCACATTTAAAGAGTCCCCCAGCCGCCGAGTGCCGCTTAGACTATAGCGCAGGAGCAGTTGGCTCTAACGACACTGGGCTTGGTGTGGTGGCCAGGGGGGCTGGCACCCAGGAGGTGCTAGGAAAGTAGTTGCAATGGACGTTGGTCCATTCGAGTGTCAGTATGTCCCCAGGGAGGGGTGGGTGACAAGGGAGGCCGTTTAAGTAGATGTGACCAAAAGTGGGGCACGAGTTTCAGGAAATCCGACCTTGACTCTTGTTCTCCCCTCTGCAGCTAAACCAAGAGATGGGCAGCATCGTGATGAAGCTCATCCAGGACTACAAGGACGGCCAAGAGGACAGACTGCAGGAGGCCTGGGACTACGTGCAGGCTCAGGTACGTAGGTGGCGGGGGTGGGGTGGCGTGAGGATCCCGGCCTGATGGGTCTGGGTCTGGGCGCCCATGCGCCTGACACAGTATGCCGGTGGGTGTGTGTCTGTTGGGGGCAAGGGGCCTCTGCAGAGTCCCCCTCCCTGGCACCCCGGCTAAGCACAGTCCCTCACGCGGGGGGCCCTGGGTCTTAGAGGCTGCCCGTGGCTCACTGTGCTGTGGTCTGTGGTGGAGGGCAAGGGCCCTCATCTCAAGCCAGGCTGGGGAGTATTGGGAGTCCGTCCTGGGGGTTAAGGAACTGGGTGCCCAGGCCGACATGCTGACACGAGTCTGAGTGGAAGCTACCTCTGGGAGAGTATTGACGTGATGTGCCCATGGGAACCTCCTGGGGTGAAAGGAATGTTCTATCTGAATCCTGATCCAACTTGCAGTTATGTGTGTAAAAATTCATCAAGCTGTTTGTGCACTTTAGTGTTTGTGTATTATACCTCAGTTAAAGTGAGAGAGAGACTGACTGACTGACTGATTGGCAGAATGACTGACTGAATAAATGAATCAATGAATGATTGACAGACTGACAGAATGACTGACAGGCTGAATGAATGGTTGACAGAATGATTGAGTGAAGACTTCTGACTGAAGACTGAGTGAATGGACGAATGATTGATGGAATGGCTGACTGACTGAATGACTGACAGAATGACTGACTGAATGAATAATTGACAGAATGACAGAATGAATGAGTGACAGACTGAATGAATGACTGATAGAGTGAATGGATGGATGGATGATGGACTGACTGGCAGACAAGATGACTGATGGACAGAATTGACTGACTAAATGAATGAATGAATGAATGAATGAATACATGAATGATGGACTGAGTGAGATAGAATGAATGACCGACTGAGTGAGTGAATGAATGAATGATGAATGAATAGGTAGATGGATGGATGATGGACTGACTGGCAGACAAAATGACTAACTGACTGACAGAATGACTGACTGACTGGCTGACAGAGAGACTGACTGACAGAATGACTGACAGTGACTGACTGACTGACTGACAGACAGAAGACTGACTGGCCCACTGGGCTCCCAGCCTGCCCTGATGGTGAGCCGGTCGCCGCGCACCCAAAGGGGCCCCGGGGACCAGGTCCCAGATGCCGTGCGCCCTGCTGCCTCCCGCGAGGAGGGGAGGGGGGTGTTTTCCGCCTCCCGGAATTTTGGTGAGGGGCCGGTCGGGGGCCTGGCGGCTCCGCACGCAGGAAGGTGTCTTCCTCCCACGTTCGGCTTGACCCACAGTTGCCGAGGTTAGGGGGAGACTCTCGGCCCGGGTGGATAGGGACAGCTGGTGCGCGCCCTGGGCGGGGGTTCCCGCAGCACGCAAGGCCTCTGGGTCACTCCCGTGCGTGCCGGGCGCTGCGGGGGTGGTGGCTAGGGAAGCCCACCGAGTCAGGCCGCTGCCGAGGCTGCTCCCGTCTGCAAAATGGGGCTACGGCTCGTGCTCGCCCGGGACGGCCTTATGGAGCCCGTGGCACTTGCGCAGCGCTTATGGGGCATGTGGGTGATGGGGGTTTATCGCCATACACCACCACGGAGGACAGATCTGGGCCGGGTCGGGGTGGGCCCCGCCTGGTGTAGCAGAGGGCCGAGGCGGGCTGCCTCCTTCTGCTGAGTGTGAGGTGCCGGCCTCCCTGCCAGAGGAGGCAGCCAAGTGTCTCCCTGAAATGGGAACAGGAGAAAGGAACCTTCTGGAGCAGCCTGGCCCAAGAACGCCTGAGCGTGCTTGCCTCGCCCCCTGCTGGCCACCGAGCTGCTTGTGGGGACCCGCCACCCAGAGATGGGAGGGAAGCAGGTGGAGGATAGCCCCACGCCCTGGAGCAATGGCACGTAGTGTATCCATGTGAGTCCCCTTAATCCTCCCAGAGACCCTGGCAGAGTGGCTCTTGTCATCCCATTCTCCACGTGAGGAAGCCAGGCCTGGCGGCTCGCCCGGGCGCAGGGCACCAGCCCTCCCTGACTCGGTTCCACCTGCCCCTGGTGGACTTGGCCTCTCAGATCCCAGTCCCATCAGGATTTCAAGCCCAGACGTGATCCAAAGTCCTCGGGGTCCCCTTCACGAGCCCCACAGAGGCCCCTTCTAGCACAGGGAGCCCAGAAGGGCCTCTCCCCTTCTGGAACTAGACCATTTTCTCTTCTAAAAGGCACAATTGACCATAACTCCTTTTCACCTTGGCAACCAGGAAGCTCAGAGCCAAATCCCAACCCCAACATGTACACAGCAGCTCGATGCGGAGCTGGTTCCTGTGCTCTCCAGGTGGGGCCCGGATACCTGGCCTGCCCCATAACCACCGTGTCCTCCCAACAGTCCTTTGACTTAGGAACCTTGGTTACCCCATTTTGCAGATGAGGAGACTTGAGGAAAGCACTTAAACCAAAGTTAAGCCGCTGGTGGATGGCAAGGCTGGGATTCGAACCCAGGAGCCAGACTCTAGACCCTGCACTCTTTTTTTAAACAGTTTTGTTTTTTTTTAAGTAGGTTCCACAGCCACCCTGGGGCTTGAGCTCATGGCCCCGAGATCAAGTGTTGCATGCTCCACCCACCAGCCAGCCAGGCGCCCCTAGACCCCACACTCTTACCTGTGTGTCCTTCGCCCTTCATGTGTCCACACGTCCGTGTTCTCTTTCCACCGCAACGGTCCCTCCTGTCCTGCTTTTACATTTTTCCTGCTCCTGACTTTTCTGTTTCTTGCTGTTTTCATATTTATGGTGTGTGTTTCCTGAAAGCCCCAAAGTTTCCTGTGGCTCCCAGAAGCCAAAGTGAAGCCTAAACTGTAATCCTGGCGGTTCGGCTGGGACGAGTGGGGTGGCGGGGCGGCGGGGGGGGCGGGGGAGGCAGCCCTGAGAGGGACAGATGTGAGTCCCCGTCCTGGGGGACCCCGCCTCTGCCAGTGGGCATGAGTGGCCTGTGTCCCCGGCAGGTGAGGTGCTGCGGCTGGGCCAGCTTCTACAACTGGACGGACAATGCCGAGCTCATGAACCGCACCAATGTCACCTACCCCTGCTCCTGCGAGGATAAGAGGGAGGCCGACGACAGCTTCCTGGTGCGGAAGGGCTTCTGTGAGGCTTTCAACAGCACCAGGACCGAGAGTGGAAACAACCCCGAGTACTGGCCCGTGTACCGTGAGGTGTGTGCGAGGCGGGGGGCACCTGTGCCTTCAGGTACTCAGGCCCCTCGGCTTCTCCTCCCTTCTTCCCTCCCCTCCACCCAGAACCTCTCTCCGCAGGCCCTCTGGGCTGGGGTGGGCCCTCCTGGGGCTTCTGCATCTATGGGGCGAGGGGTGACGTGACCGTGTGCTCCCCTTCTAGGGCTGCATGAAGAAGGTGCAGGCGTGGCTTCAGGAGAACGTTGGCATCATCCTGGGCGTGTGTGTGGGCGTCGCTGTCATCGAGGTCTGAGTCCCTCCCCCCTCCAGCGTTCCACACCCCTCCCCTGCCCTTCACCCCCAGCTCTGCCCTCCGGGATTGGCCCTGCCTCCTCAGGGAGGCTGAGCTCCATCCCCTTCTAGAGGCCCCAGAGCAGGCCTGGCCTGACCACTGCTCCCCACCCCGGGGGCCCCCCTACTGCTGGAACCCCAGGCTGGTCACGAGGTTTTAGTTATGGATCTGCTTAATCCCACTCAAAGCCTGTGAAACTCAAGGACCTGGACCATGAGATGCTGTTCTGGGGCCTCCGGGGGACCGGGTGGCCCTGCCTCCCTCTGACTCTTGCCCTCTCCCTCCGTAGCTCCTGGGGATGCTCCTGTCCATCTGCTTGTGCCGGCACGTCCATTCTGAAGACTACAGCAAGGTCCCCAAGTACTGAGGCACCTGCTGTCTCCCACCTCCCTGCCTGCCCCCAGGCTCAGGGCTCCTCAGGATCTCCCTGGCTCTCCTCCAGGCTCACCTCCCACCTCAGTCGCCTGTGCCCATCCTGTGCCGGCTGGAGGTGGGGGGCTTCCTGGGGCCTGGACCCGTCTCCCCACCTTTCTGCCTCCAGACTTGAGCCCCAGCTGCCAAGCTATTCTGTGGCTCCTCCGCTTATTGCCCGCCAGGATTTCCTTAGCAACCCAGAGAAAATGCTCCCAAGGCATCCCTGCACAGGTAGACTGGGTCTCTACCTGCCTTGGGAGCTGTGTGTATTGGATGGGGGAAAATGTATTAAACTTTAGGGTGGGGGTGGGGGGTCAGATAAGGCACCCTGGGCTTCAGGGGACTGCCCACTGCGTGGGTAAACTCTTTTGTTCACTCTAAGGCTTCTCTCTTTGGTTTCTACATTTTCACTGAAGGTAGTGGGAGAGGGTGGGCCTTACCTGACACGAGTAGGAGGAGCAACCCTTCTGCAGGCCAGCTCCAGCCTCACCTGGGCAGCTCAGACCAACCTAGGCCAAGTGATAAGCCGGGCCAAAGAGGGGCCGCCTGGACCCGGGCCTCCGGACTGGCTCTGGGCTGCTTAGGGAATCTGGGGGGTGAACGCTTGGGGCCCGGAACAGAGCTGGTCCTGCATTTGCCAGGATCCCAAGTTGCCCAGGGAAGTGAGAGGGATGCTCTCCCCCAGGAGAAGCTGAGGCTGGCCTGTCCTTTGCCCCCTGGGGAATGGGTGGGTGAGGCTGTGCCCTGCGAGGGAGTGTGGAGGGGCTCTGTGCATAGTTCTGTAAAACATGTTTGAGATGTGACAGCTAACTATTAAAGAGGATTTGTAACAATCCAGCTTGCTGCCTGGCGGTGCTGCTTCTGGCGTCCAGAGGAGGACGGACTGGAAAGAGCCAGCGCCCCCCCCCCCCCCCCCCCGGGAAGTGGGGCTGCGGGAGGGCGATGGTCGCGAGGTGTTTCTGCAGACCCACCAGGTGGCGCTGCTGCCCCGGCCTGGGAGCCTGGCCGAGCCCCAAGTGACTCCCTGGCTTCTCCAGGCCCCGGCCCAGCCCCAGCCCCAGCCCCGGGCGTCTCTCACTCCAGCTGGAGCACTGGTGAAAATGCAGATTCCAGGCCTGGAGGATTCTGAGGCAGCAGATCTGGGATGGGGACAAAGAGTCTGCATTTTTAGCAGCCCTCCGAGGTGATTCCTGAATCCTGATTCTGAGATTCTTGGGCCCTGCCTGATAAGATGGAACTACAGATGCGCCCCCCCCCCCCCCCCCGGCCCATAGGCCCCCTCCTGCCCCCTGGTGATCCCTCAAGAGAGACAGGGCAGGGGGAGCAGGCCAGACAGCCCTGTCTGCAGCGAGCGGTGGTGGGGCACACCTTAGGGACAGTCCAACTGTCGATCTGAACCTAATTGGTTTCTTGCAAGAGATTTTTGTGGCTGATACTGTGGCCTGTGGAAGGCACAGGGGACGCCCCTGGGGGTCGAAGGACCCTTACGCTCCACGGAGCCTGTTCTCTGCTGCAGTCAGAGACCCTCCCCAGAGCTCACCCAAGGCAGAGAGGGAGTCATGCCAGTTTATTTTATTTATAACCTGCCTCATTCCACAGGGAAGTACATGTAATAAAACAGGAAACATAACAGGGAAAATATAAGCTTACAAGGAAGCGTAAACATGGGTGAGATAAGTCCAGCCAAGTTGCCCAACCTGGTGATTGTGAATCCATGCTGTGCTCATCCCACCTTCTCCACCACTGTGCTCGCAGCAGACATCACTAGTTGATCGCCATTCTCATTTCCTTAGCCGAGATGCACGCTGGCCATGTTCCAAGCTGATATCACTCATGGCAGCCTCGAATCCTTCCCAATTCAGTACCGTCCACCAATCTAGTTGGCATGTAAAGTGAAAGCAATTACCTTTGACAGCTCTAGTGGTTGAGTTGAGTTGAGTCATATGTAATTTTGCCTTTGAGCTTCCTGGTGGTCAAAGCAAAAAGGGAAACTTTCTCAGTTATATAGCTCTCATTTCCCAAGGTTTCCTTAGCTTAGGTACCAGGGGGAATGTGACTGGCTGGAATGTGGAATTAAAGGCCACCCTCAAACACACAAACTCTGGTATCCCTTCACGACTGGAGCAAAAAGCACCCATGAGCCTACTGTGCCTGACCTTGTGCTGGTTGTGGGCAGTGAGGACCGAAGCTGTGCATCTGCCTGCCGAGGAGGAGCCAGGAAGGCCAGTGAATGTGCACAAAGCAATTGGGTGACGATCTTTCAAAGTAATTGGTGCTTGAAGAGCATCTGCTCTGTTCTAGTCCCGCAGACATATGTTAACTGATTTACTTGCTATAATCCTAGGAGGTGTGGGTCCATTATCCCCAGTTTACAGATAAGGACGATGAACAAAGGGGTTAAATAATTTTGTCTCCTGCCGAGAGGAGCAGGAACCACACCCTGGCCATCTGGTTGTGCAGTCTGCGGGCTGAGGTGGTGTTGCCTGAGGGAGTCACGAGCTGTCTCACATCTACTGTCGGCCTCCTCCGGCCCGCAGAGGGACCCGCGTGCCACCCTTGCCCTGATGACAGCCTTGTAGGGGGAGAAAGGCTGAGTTAGGAGACAAGGCTTGGTCCCTGGTGGTGGGTCAGACTCCCCGGGCAGACAAGGGGATCCGAATCTTCAGGTGGGCGCGGGGCTGTGTGGGGTGGGGACACAGTCTGATTCAGCCCAGAGGTCCCTTGGTGCCCACGCAACTGTCCCACATCATCAGCAGGTCTCAGGGAGGGCTTCCCTGAGAAGGGCTTGGGCCGTGGGTAGGGCAGGCCTGGGTCCAAACGGGGGCTTCGCCGCTGTGTAGTTACATGATCCCGGGCAACCCTCTTGGCCCATGGGGACCTCCCTGTCCTCATCCGAATGCCAGGAGGTTGACAGGGTTGTGGGACGCTCGGGTGCTGGGAAGGAGGTAGGAGCCTCAGCAAGGTGCCTGGCTCCCTGGGAACCCGGAACCAGAGTGAGCAACCCTATCCCTTGGCTTTGCCCATCCTGCCGTGTTCCTGGCTTTCCAGTCTCCGTGGCAGACTGTGGCAGGACACGGCTACGGGGGTCCTGCACAGGGTGATGGTCTGCAGCAGGTGGGGTGTGAGGCGCACGGGGTGCGATGGGGCAGGAGAGTAGGCCACTAGATGAGGGGCTTTCCTGCCCTTTGGGGGTGCCTGCTGTGGGGAGCTCCAGCATAAGGCCTGGAGAGGATGGTGCAAGGGGGCCGGTGAGTTCCCAACTGGGGTCTCTGCCCACGTGAGCTCTCAGGGTTCCATCAGGCACCTGGCTTTGGAGTTAATACCCACCAATCATGAACACAGAGAAGCCGGGGGCCCCTGTCTTGCCCTGTGTATGTCTCCCCTCCTTCCCCCACTTTAGGCCTGGGCGGGGGGAGAATGGGATTCTGGGATGGACAACGAGAGCCCCCACCCAAAGAGCAGCAGCAGACTTCAGCTGGCCAAGAATGGGGCACCAAGTAAGATGTGGGTCCCTCTGATGCCCAGGGGTTTGGGGCTGAGACTGGAAGTCTCGAGAAGGCTGGGGAGCAGGGGGCGGGAGGCCTGAGCTGACCACTGTCCCAGGCCACCTGCTGACCCCCAACCTAAACAGGACCAGCTGAGGGGTGTCAGCCTCGGATTGCCTCTCTGGCCTTGGGTTGTCTCCCTCCTGGGTGGCAGAGCGAAGGGGAAGGAGGAAGATGCTCCCTGACCTACTGTTGAGGGTCCTGCCATCTTCACCCTCAGAGAGGGTACAGGGAGCCTATCAGGTTGGCTCTTCAGAACAGCAGGGGGTCCGGGGACCTGGGTTTGGATCTCGCTGTACCTCCGTCTTCCCGTGTGACCCTGGGCCCCAGAGAGCAGGGGTGAGCTCAAAATTGTGCTTGCAAAATAAATACTGTAAAGAAGGCTGAGAAAATGTCAGAAGTTATTAAGAGAGTAGGCTGATTCCCCAGCCCGCTTCCTCCCGATGCTTGTCCCAGCGCCTCGCAGCTGGAAAGTGCCAGAGCCAGGACTGGGACCGCACAGATCTGACTCTGAGACGTCCTCCTGCCTCCACCGCCTCCCAGGCTTCCTGGGACGATTCCCAGGCTGGGTTGTGTTGTCAGACCGTGGGCCTAAGTTCAGTAACATCTGGTCATCGTGAGCACGGAGGCTGCCGGGCCCCTCACTCCTACCTCCTGGGGAGGTCCCTGTTTCCACTGCCCTCCTTGCCCTCTGCCTCCCCCAGGCTTGAGAGATTCATGGGGAGAGAGCATAGTCCAGCTTCTCTAATTCCTGAGTTGGCCCCTACAGTCAGTCACCAATCCCAAGCCCACCTGGGGCTTGCATCCTTCTTGCCTCCCTGCTTGGGCTGCTGAGCCATCTGAAGGGCTACCAGGCCTTCAGTGGGGGGACGGGGCACCCCCAGGCTGTCATCTCTGCCAGGCCAAGGGGTATGCCGCTCAGATGACTGGTACAGGGGCCAAATAATGGCCTGGTTGCTGAGACAGAGGGCAGGAAGGCCCAAGGGTGCCCCTGGGTAGAGTCCACACGGCTCCCTGGGATCAGGGAGAAGCATAGGTGGGTACCAGCTCGGGGTCTTTGGGGGAGCCAATGGCGGTGTGCAGGAAGTGTCCAGGAAGGGGGGCCGTCTGGCATGGATGCTGGCAATGGGCATAGACGCCAGACTCGAACTGGAATAAAGTCCTTTTGTGCGGATTGGCAGGAGGTGCAGGGGGCCTAGGGGTTGGCCGGGGGAGGATTGTTGTCAACCAGGAGAGAAATATTCCAGTATTTTAATGACTGCCATGGCTGCATAGGCAAGCACCGCCGAACGTCCGCCCAGTGTGTGTGTGCACGCACGCAGGCCCTGCCTCCCCTGAGGACTCAGTCCATTCCTAGCTGTGAGGGAACCCAGATCTTCTCCTCAGACAGAGCCGTACCTGGCCAGGGTTGGGCAGGCACAAAGGGGCAAATGTCCGCCAGCCTGGAATGTTCCAGACCTGCCCTGGGAGACCCCAATCCTGCCTGCTTCCTAGCAGAGCCTCCTCCGCTCCCTCCCTGGGGTCTTACAAGTGAGCAAGTTACCCAGGCTGAGGAGCAGCATGGTGAAGGCGGCGCATGCCACTAATGACACGCCAGCCAGCAGGGCGTCGTCTCCCAGGCCGGGCCAGGACTGCCTTTCCCTGCAGGGGGACAGAGACCTCGGGGCAGATACCTGGCTGCCCTCTGGGGTCCCTGGAACCTGTGGGCTAGGCTTCATTTGCTCACCATTTGTTTGTGGTTTCACTCACTCATTCATTCATTTGTTCATTCATTCATTCCGTGAATACTTAAATGGGCACCTACTATGTGCCGGGCACTGTTCTAGGCTCTTGAGAACACAGCGGTCAAAGAAAAGCAGATCCCTGACCTTTTGGCACCTGTATTCTGATGCCTACACGGAATCTGGCACCCTCACCTGTACACACCTACACACCCAGACGGGCACACGTGCCGCACACGCATGCAACCACCACCACTGCTGACAGCCCAGTCCATGCCGAATGTTGCTGTGGGACCCCCGGGGCCCACCCAGAGCCTCTGGCATCCTGTGGAAGGAAGTAGAATAATGAACGGCGAGTGGACAAACAGGAAAGGGTGCGGAAGCGCTCACACTCAGCCCCTTCCCCTCCAGCCACACTCCACAGGAATCAGCACCCCCCTGGCTGCCCCCTTCCCAACGGAAATGAATCGAATCAACCAGCTCCTGCGCTCAGGAGTAACAAGCCAAGTAACCTCGCTGACTCCTCTGTGACACAGAGGCCGTAAGTCCAAACTCCCGGCGTTACCGTGGG